CGGTCCGCGCACTACTGCCGCTTCTGCAAGCAGCCGCTCGCGCGCGTGGAGCTCTCGCAGGCGCTGCAACCCGCGCGCGACGCGCCGCTGCTGCGCAGATTCGGCGTCTTCGTCGCCGACCGCGCGCTGCTGCGGCAGCTTTTGAAGCTCGCGAACTTTTACTGCTGGGACTGCCACAAGAAGTTCGCCGACCTCGCGAGCTGGCGCAAACACCAGGCCGTTGCGCACCGCAAGCAGCCGTGCCCCACGTGCCTAGAGCGGCGCAGCGCGCCGGACTTTCTGACCGCCGCCTACACGGACGCTGAGCTGCGTGCGCACATAGCGCCTGCGCAGCCCTCCGCGCTCGATCACGTGCGCTGTCCCGTCTGCGCCGCGATTTGCTACGACCGCACAGCGTTCGAGCAGCACTGGAAGGTCAGCGACAACCATTTCGAGTGCCACTTCTGCGCAGCGAACGCCGAGACCTTCGTGCTCTTCGGCAGCTACGCGGCGCTCGAAGCGCACTTGCGCGCGCAACACGTTGCCTGCGCGCAGTGTGCGGAGTTCTGCCGCGACGAGCACGACTTCCTCGTGCACTGCAGCCAGGCGCACGCGCAGCCGCTAAGCCTCGACGCGCTTCAGCGCGCCGCTCCCGCCGCGGCCGGCTCCGACGCTGCGACTGCGCTGCGCGAGCTCGGTCGTCAACCACTCGCCTCGCTGCTCAGCCCGAAGGCACTCGTCGAGCTCGAGACCGTCGAAAAACTGCTCGAGCTGCACGCACGCGACGTGCACACCGACTTCTGCTTCGAAGAACTCAAGGCCGCCTACCGGCTCGAAGAGCGCGGCGCCGCCTGGGCCGCCTCCCTGTTGCAACTTGCCAAGACCTTCGTCACCGATCCCGAGCAGCTCATCGGCGTCTGCTCTGCTGTCGCATGTGTGCATTGCTCACTCGCGCGCTTCAACAAGCGGCCCAAAGAACTCCCGCTGAATCGCTTCCTTCCTTGCCTGAAGCGCCTGAGCAACGAAAGCCTGCTGCTCACCGCGCTGCTCGCCTACATTCGGCCCGATTGCGCGCCGCTGCTCGCCGCGCTCAAGAAGTTCTGTGCGCAGCACCACAGACACGTCGGCGTACTCTTCAACAAATCCAGCGCCGCAAACTTCGCCTACCACCTCTCGCTCGCGGTCAACAAGAAGTGCTATCTTTCGCCGCTCACGCAGTTCGGCGACTCGCTGCTCTTCAGCGCGCTCGTGCTACTTCAGAATAACGCTCTGTCCGCACTGCGCCAGCTGCTCACGCCCGCCTACCTCGCGCGCATAGCAAGCGCGCGGTCCTCTGCGGATATTCTCAGCCTCGCACACGTCGGCTCCGATTTCGCAGACAAACTCGACGCTGCCGCACTCGAGGCGCTCTCGCGGCTGCGCATCCATTTCGCCGACGCGCAGCGCCTCGTCGTATCTGCAGCCGTCACCGCGCCGTCGGAAGACTCTAGCCGCGTCGTGCACGCCGCACTCAAGCAGTGGAGCGCTCCGCTTTTTGAGTTCCTCGACGCGCTAAAAAGCAGCGAGCTAATCCAGCTCGCCGCCTACCTACTCGCCAGCAAATCCGCCGAAGCATGCCGGCACAACAAGCTGCCCGACACCACGCTCGGCTCCGCCGAGTTCCCCGAACTGTTTCAAAGCGACAGCGGGTTCGTCGCGCCGCGCTGCACCACTTCGCACCGCTCCGTGCTCAATCGCACGCGCGTCGCGAGAACTGATTCATTAGCTGGGCACGCCAGCACCGCCGACGACTTCTGCCCACTCGAGCTCGCGCCCGCCACGCAAATCGCTGCGCCGCCCCGGCGCAGCCCCAAAGCGGCCGGCGACCACACTTCTAGCGACGCGCGCCCTAACGCGCCCGACAAGGCAACTGACGCGTTCCCAGCCTTCGCTACTCTCGGAGGCGCGGCGGCGGCGCCTCCCGCCGCACGCGACTGGCGCACCCGTCAGCAACAGCAGGCAGAAGAACTTCTTAACCTAATGAACAGAGACCGACAGCTGCGCCGCAAGTTTTAGCACACGATGTCGGCCCGCTCGCAGAGCGAGAACAGCGACTCGCTCAGTAGGTAGCGAATCACGTTTGGCCCCTTGCCCTCGGTGATGTTACGGCTGACCTCGCAGAGCGGCGCACCGCTGGACGCCATGTACAGCTCTCCGTCGCGCACGAACATCAGGTTCTGAATGATGTACTGCAAGTCGCCGTCGCCCAGTACGTCGCGAATTAGCTTGCGCGCCAAGTAAACCGCTGCTCCGTAGACCGTCGTGTTTGAGGGCAGCTTTAGCGGCCGCTTCGATAGTTCGCGCGCCATCGAACACACCGCTGGCGGCAGGTTGTGATTCAAACAGACCAGGAATACTTCGTACCCCGCGTCATCGCTCGCATTTTCTTGCCGCGCTGCGAACGCCTCGTCCGCGTACAGCTGCGCGCTGTTTTTGCGCCGTTTCTGCCCGCACTTTGAGAATGTCGACCGCAGCACTTCGTCCGCGTCGTAGTTTGACTCGAGCTCATCGCGGTAGTCTGCATCCAGCGAGTTGTCCGACGAGTTCAGTGCGTCGTACGCCTCCACGGATGTTCGCTTCCCGCTCTCCGCGCCGCCAAGGTTCTCGCCCACGCGAGGCGTAAACAGTGCGTCGATTATCCCCGACGCGATGCGCTCTTTGCGCAGCATGCGCCGCGTGGTTAGCTTCGACTGGCAATTCGGGCACGTCTTGTTGCCCAGCCGGATCCAGCGGTTGATGCACGCGCTGCAGAAGCGGTGCGCGCATTGCTTCACGATCATCACGTTGCGGTAGGTGCCGTTACACAGCGAACAGCTCAGCAGCTGCAGCAGCTTTGTCTGACCCAACACAACGGTGCGACCTTCCTGCAGTTCTGCCGAAACGTACTTTTCGTCGCGCACCGGCATGTATATTTCCGACAGGTCAAGTCCGAGCGCCTCAGCATGATATTTCACATTATCCGGTTCGCGAAAATTCGGCCATGGCTCATCGTAGTAATCCGTGGCAGTCCGATAGTTTTTCAGCCACTTAAGATCATTCTGTTTCATTGCAGATCACGTGGCTTGCCATAGAAGTTTGCCGATCAATTTTTCCGAAAATCTGATAATCACACAAAATAGTATAAAGCGCAGCTCCGCGCTGCAGCCGGTTTTCTTATTAAATAGCATACTAGCCGCGTGCCGCAGCTGCGCTCGCAATCGTCCCCGCAGCTGAGCGCTCAGCTTCGCGCCAGTTAGTCCGCGCCGCCGCCACACTTTGATCGACCCGCCAGCGCGCCGCGCGAAAACTTGCGCCAAAGGCCGCGCCGCAGACGGTGCTAAAGACCGCGTTGGGGGCCACACCGTAGGTGAGGACAGAATTGCCAAATGCTGAGCTAACAGCCGCGCGACAGTCGCTCGACGCGCAGCCGTAGTTTTTGCGGCAACCGCGTGACTGCAGTGTGCGGTTGTCGGCTGCATGCAAACTTCCGCAAGCTGTAACGCGATGCGGCGCTGCATTGCCGCGCAACGCGTGTCGCGAGTTGGCGTCAGCGGCCGCGCCCAGTCAGGTGCACCTTGCCGGCTCCGCACTCAGGCGCAAAAACTAGCTCGCTTTTCGCGCTACCATCTGCATTCGTCGCGCGCCCCCACTGCATCGTCCGCCGCGCCTCTCCTGCCATGGGGATGATTTGGATCGCGCATGAAGCCGTGAGCGCCAAATACTGGCGCTACATGCTCTTCGCGCGCGGCGCCTACAACGTTGCCGCGATATTTGTCGTGGAGAAAATTCTCACTTCTCACCCGATCATCCTGACCTACTTGTTCCGCTCGCTCCACATGAGTGAGAAACAGTTCACCGCATACGGCGTTTCCATCTACAACATGCAAGGGCTCGAGCAGGCGGCGACCGTGATCTCTGCCTATCACTGGACGCTGCGCGTCGGACTGCTAATGTTTCTGAACATCATCTGGCACCAGCTCGTAATCTCCACGCAAACCATCCGTGTCAGCGAGTTCGCCGAATTTAACAGCATGCTCCACTATTGCTACACCGGCTGGAGCTGCTACCGCGTCGACTCGGATTTTCTCTACGGAAACAGCAACTTGCCCGTGCTCTTCAATTCTTGGTTCAACTGGAACATTCAGGAAGTCTGCGAGACCGCGGTGAACTCATCAGTCACAGACCCCATGGAGCGCTTCCTCCCGCACAAAGACACGAACGTGGTCTGCTACAAGTCCTTCGACACTAACGGCATCAACAGCATTATGACGCTGACTGTCGCCGCGATGTTCGGGTTCATTGTCTTCCTCGCATACGACATGATCGTCTCCTTTCTGCTACGCAAGACGCACAACAGCTACATCGACAACAAAGTGATCATCAGCTTCCTATGTCTCTGCGGCCTCTGCTCGAGCGCTTATACGCTGGTCATGAACGTGCTCACCGCGCAGGACGTCAACGGCTCCTTTTCAATCATCCTGGTATGCAGCACAATCGTACTGTTCCAGTGTTGTCGCGCGTTCTCCGCGCTTGACAAGCTCAAGAACCTGAACTACGAAGATAAAATTAAGGAACTGCACAAAAGCGTGCTGAACAAAGACCTGTAGCACACTGCTCTACTCCACGACGTCGACCAGTCCTTTCTCCGAGACATAGATACCGTCCAAAAACTGGCGAATGTCTTTGTTGCGAACCAGCGCGTTCTGGCGCAGCAGCGAGCACGAGCGCGACACTTTGCGGATGTCGATGCCCGAGAGCAGCAACTCGTCCTTGACTGCGTCCGACTTCACGCAGGTCACACCCTCGTCGAGTCGCACGACGCGCGTGCGCTTCTCGCCCAAAAAGTGCCGGATCTCGACCACGCGTCCGTCTTCCGTGACGTTGATGTTGATGGGAAAGTGTGAGTACACCAAACGCATCTTGTACAGAAATTTGTGTCGGACGCCTTTGATCATGTTCTCGATGTGCGAGCACAGCGTGCGCACAGAGGACTTATCTCGGCTCTTCGCGTTCCACATTGTCACATAGAGCGTGTCACCTTCGCGCGCGATTTCAACACTGATGTGCTTGAAATCGGACTGGATTTTCCCGTATTTCCCGGTGACGCAAACGGTGCGCGAGCACACGTCGACGGTCACGTCCGAAGGCACTTTCACAGTTTCCTGAACCTGAAGCGTCACCATAGGCAAGAATATTTAATCCAAAATACGAATTAGTGTTTTGTCTATCGCCCGCGCTCAGCGCCTTTGCGATCGGCTGGACGGCAACTGCTTTCGCGCTCTCTCCGAGGCGCGCCACCCGCGCCGCCGACTCAGTCCGCGACCGGTTCAGGAGTGGCTGACAGTTCGTTGCGCCCTTCTTCGGCAACGGCGTCCTCTTTCGCTGGCAAAAAGACCAGCCGACGGCCCA